TTTTGATAACTCTTGACTAACAAAGGTCCAATTAATGAAGAGCTCCCTTATATGAAGAATTGAATGTTATGCGACTTCTTAAAAAAATGTTTTAGTCCAACCAATCGACAAGACTTGGCTAATCATATCAGTCATGCAGACCCCTGACCAGTAGCAGGTCAACCGACCTGTAGCTTCCACAGCCTAATCGGCCCGCAACATTCGTCGAACCTAGTTGACCAATGACCAGAATGAATTGCTTACTCATCCGGCTGAATATCGACCAAGGCTCCGTTGGCCTCGTTGGCTGGTAGAATATGCTAGGGCCAACCGATTGATAAGTCTTAGTAAATTGAATCAGTCTTGCGGACCTCCAGCTAGAAGTCAGGGCCCACACGAGTAAAATATCTAAAAAAAATTTCGTACAACCCTCTTTAAAGCATGGACATAAATATAACTTCACATACTAAAACTCGTTCCTCTATAAAAAGAGGATCATTCTACAAATAAATGATTATACAATTCCTACATTTTTACTCTTCATTCATGTGCACTCTACCCCCTTTCTCTCTCTCTATTTCTCTCTCTTAATTTATGCCCAATTTCTGGATGGGTGAAACACTGATAATCTTAAACTATAAATTCAACAATGTTAAACTAATAAATTCTTTTTTATTCATTTCTTAAATGAGCTAATTTGTTCCTACTTATTTATAGTACTTGATTGAAAACAAAAATTTACTTATAATCTACATATTATTTTATTTAATTTATATAAAATATTTGAATGTTAATTGATAATTTATTTTGCTGATTTTTTATTCAAATTTATAAAAATATTTATCGTTAGTTTTAAATAATATCCCTCTAACGCTTTATTGAAATGGCTTCTAAATTCAAACTTTTACAAGAATTTTGTCGAGCTTTTGGAATTAGAACATAATATGCGTCCAACTTCTTCCAATAAAATAATAAAGATAAGAAATCTTATTATCTTTTAAAATATGATATTCTAATTTAAAGCAATCAAATTTGTCCATTTTCCTTCACTTTTTCCCTTTTTTTACAACTCCCATCATCGTATTACCGTATACCCCCAACCATCCTCTTATCATTACACACACACACACAGAGAGAGACTGGTATCGATAGGCCTGTGGAATCTGAAGTGGTTTAGCCGGTTACAGCATCACGGTCGCAAAACGTGACACGGGAGCTATCCATTAGGAACGTGTCAAAGACCATCCCCATAATCTTCCCAACCTCATCTTCTTATTATCTCTCTCTCTCTCTCTCTCCTCTCTATCTATCAGTTATCGCTCCGTCGACAAGCCCAATAAGAAAGAGCCATGGCTTCCCAACTTTCCGGCTAGCCTTTACGTGTTCACCATCATCGCCCTCGTGAAGGATCATCAAAAGAAACAGAGCAAGAGCTGTAGCAGATACCAGAGATGTCCCTTCTGCTCACAAGCATGGAGGTACTCAACGGCCCAACTGTTGGCTTAAAGGAGACACAAGTCAGTATTCCGGTCTTCAGCCATGGAGATTACGAAGAAACCAGATTGGAAATTGAACACGAGCGAAAAACAGAGGATTTCGTTTTGTTGGGGATGAAAAGCTTGAATACTTTCACCTTTGTGAAGGAGGAGGAGGAGCCTGAAAAGCAGGAGGCTGAGGATTCATCAGAGAGCTCCTCGATTGGCGTTCAGTCTTCTTCTTCGGAAGAGGAGGATGATGATGATGATGAAGAAAGGGGAAATGAAGTCCAGAGCAAGCTGAAAGAAGAAGGGGCTTTTACTTCCCTGGATTCATTGGATGATTCTCTTCCAATAAAGTAAGCTCCTTTATTCACAATTTCTGCAATTCTTAGCTCATGATTTCGCCCCATCTGCTAAAAGATGAAGAATTTCTTTTTATAATTTATGTTTTTCTTCAAGCCCTGTTGATTCTCTCTCGATTTCCCCAAAAAAGGGGCGATTTTTCTGTTCTTTGGATCTCAAAAACTGAATTTTTATGCTTTTGTTCAGGAGAGGATTGTCGAATTTCTTCACAGGGAAATCTAAATCATTCGCCAGCCTCTCTGATGCTTCTGCTGGTTGTGCAAAGGATCTGAGGAAGCAAGAGCACCCCTTTAACAAGCGGAGAAGAATTCTAATGGCGAACAAGATTTCTCGAAGCCGAAGAGCTTCCTACAGCTCACTCATCACCTTTGTACCCTCCCTCCTCTCCCCGGATCATGCTCTCAAAGAGGGAGAGGAGGAAGAAGATGATAGGGGAGAAGAAAACTCCTCCATAGCTCCTCTCCCCAAACCCTTCAGCCATGGATTAAGCAAGGCTTCCAAGCCACCTAGATCATTCTCTTTATCTGATCTTCAACATGTTTAGCTTCGTTTTTCATGGAATTCAAATATATCAAGTCTTTGATTTTCTCTCTGTTTGATCCGTGAAATATGAAAGAAAAAATCATAATTTGATGTGATATTTTTTTACAAGATAGAACGGGAAAGGACAACTTATGTAATATATATATATATAAACTTAGAACTTTAGACTTTCTTCATCAATCAATATTTGTTTATTTTTAATAAATAATAAAAATGTACCTCCAATGATATTGGATGATTTTATTTCATAAAAAAATCGCATAAATAGATGGAGGATTAATATGTAAAAATTTGTAAGTTGTGGCTTTTATGTAGTTGTCTTATGTGACAAGTGATGGAACTAAAACTATAGAAAGAGTGGCCAAATAAAAACTAAAGGGTAATTCTATAAAAAAAATATATAATATTTTTAAAATTATTTTAAAGATGGCTACTAAATTAAAAATATAATTAATATTAAATAAATATTAAGTATTTGTTTAGTATGTTATATGATATTAAATAACTTATTGAAAATATAATTATATCTCTTGTTAGTTTTGGGAGAAGATGCTCAACCAATAGGATTAGTGTCTTATCCACAAGTATCTATTTTAGTTACTCCTTAGTTTCTTATTTGTATGTGATGTGAGCTTTATTTTATCATTATCAGCCTAAAGCTCATTTTCATCTTCCTCCACAATCACCCAAACTCCTAATAAAATTATATTATATTTCTATTATTATATCATCTAAAGTAGTTATTTTTTAATTATGTTCGATCAAACAACCCCAAAAGATAGAAGAGAAGTGATTTTACAATTTTGGTGAAAGAATCAAATTTATGAAGACCAAATACTTCTAGAAGAAGTTGGTTGGCACCATTTAGCAAGGATTAGTTGGGTTATTATTTATATGGTTGTTGGAACATACAATTGGACTCTAATTTTTACATTTTATTTCATTTGTGTGAAATAAGTTTAATATGTCATCTACAACATATAATATGAAATTACTATGTCTCATGTACTTGACATGTACATGTCCATACTTTTGGATTTATAGATCATAGAAGAGGAGTGGTATTAAGTCGAATTAACGCTAATAGAAAAAAAAATTTTTTTTTTGAGATGAGCTAAAGCTATCTTATAATTTATAGAATTGCTAAATTTTTTTCCAAAAAGAAATTATAATTGTCTTAATTAGAAAATATTAATTAATTAATTAATTATAGATATATACATACATACGTACATACATACATACATACATATACAAAAACACTTCTTTTCAAGAAGACAAGGCAAGTGCCCAAAAAAATTGGTAAAATTAAGAGAATAAGCCTAATATCCAAAAATATTGGAATGCCATGGCTAAAGCCTCAACAAAAAATTTGAAACTTCTTTTTTTTTAAAAATTAAATTAAGCCCCTTTGAAGATGCAACAAAAACCAACTTCTAAATTTTATTTTAGCAAGAATAGCGGTAGCACTACTCCTTAGTGCCAATGAGTATAGTTGAGGAATAAGACTAGTGCCCAAAAAGTATAGGAAGTCATTACAAGAATAAGCCCAATGTCCAAAAACATTGGAATGCATCAGCTAAAGCCACAACCAAAAAGGCAACTTTTATTTATTTATGTATTTATTGAAATAAGTCCACTTCTCACATGCAACAAAAGCCAACTTCTACATTTTGTTTTAGCAAGAATAGTGGCAGCACTACTCTTAAGTGTCAATATGAAAAGAATATTTGAGGAACACTACTATTGTCAAAAACATTGGAAGCCATTAACAGAATAAGCCCTATGTCAATTATTGGAATGAATTAGCTAAGGTCTCAATAAAAAAAGTAAACTTTAATCTAATTTTTAATTAAAATAGGCCCCCTTCTAAGAATGCAACAAAAACCAGCTTCTACATTTTTTGTTTTAGCAAGAATAGTGGTAACACTACTCAGTGTCAATATGAGATTATAGTTGAGAAATATAGCATGGACAAAAAAAAAAAGAAAAAAAAAGTGAATTAATAATGTGAAGGACATATATCCAAACTTACTCTCTAAGAAAGGAGATAATGATGATATATGGAGTCTACAAAACACCAATAACTAATAAGCCAATCATAAGTTAATTGAGTATGAAAAACAAAAACTTGGCCACCATTTTTAAGAATAATAATCAACCCTATTAATGTAACAATGCAATAAAAAGATATAAAATCATTTAATTATTAAAATAAAGAAAACATGTATGTCATGTATAAAATCAGACATTTTGAATCATGAGGCAAAAAACATCACTCATATTAATAAGAATAACCACAAAAAGTTAAAATTTGGAGACATGGATGGACCAAATAAAAAAAAAAGGCTAAGACATTTATAACAATTAAAGTGAAAACATATGGATTTGTCAACTATCAGACAAGTTGGAAAAACAAATTGTATGAATAATTTCTCACATAACTATTGACAAATGCAATGTTTTATGATGACATGAGGCTTAATTAATTATATTTGAAATAAAATATTGTTGTTTAGAGCTATGTATATTTCATACAAATATCTTTGATTTTTTTTTCTTATCTTCAAGGGTTTGTAAAATAAGTTATTTTCTTATCTTTTGTAGCCTTTTACACATTGTTTCCCTATTTATTAATCACTTTTATGGTTTCATATTTGTCTTATTCTCTAAACTATTTACCCTTATTGTTTGTTAATGTTAGACAACTATTAAAGATATTTTCTCATAGTTGTGGCTTATGTCACTTGATTTTTTCAGAGATGCGCACTTTCTCTCTCTCTCTCTCTCTCTCTCTCTCTTTCTCTCTCTCTCTCCCTCTCTGATTTTGAATTATTCTCATGCAGAGTTGTTAACAATCCGATTATACTCTCTCTCTTTCGCTCTCTCTCTCTCTCTTTGATTTTGAATTATTCTCGTGCAGAGTTGTTAACGATCCAATTATGAGCCGAGTTGGAATCGGCTCGAATATATTTAGTGTGGCTCGAAATCTGCTCGTGGCTTGTTATATTTAATTTCAAGCAGAGCTAGAAATTGAACCGAGATCGATACGGCTCAGAATCAAAATGACTTGGCTGAATTTGAGCTATTTGGATCTGTTTTAGCTCAAAATTGGCTTGATCCATCTTAAAATTGAAACTCTCTCTCTCTCAAATTGAGTTATTTGGATCTATTCCAGCTTAAAATCGACTCGAAATTAGCTCTTGATTCATTATAATCAATTTTATTTAGCATTATAAATATAATTTTTATAAATAAAAAATACTTGAGCTGATCTCGAGTCAGTTCAAACTGATTCAACTATGGCTCAAAATCAGCTGAAAAAAAAATTCAATCCAAAATTTTGACTCATAGCTCGACTCGTTTATTTCATTCTAATTTCAATCCGAGCTAAAATCCAAATCAATTTTCGAGTGATTAACAATATTCAAGCTCAATTCCCAACCCTATCCTCAACCTCTATATATTCTGATCTTATGATTGTGATTTTTGAATAGTGGTTCTATTTTCTTTCTTGTAACGTGTTCCCTTTGCCTTTATAACCATTTATTTTTCTTGCTTCAACATAAATTATGCATGTCTGAGCGCTCAAATTCCCCCCCAAATAGATATATTTATTTTCATACAATTGGCTGACGTCTACGTTGTAGGCATGGGGCATATTACAGCAGTATAATCGGTAGGATCTTTATATTTAATAATTTTAAAAATATTTTATCATAAAAATAAACAAAATTATACCAACTATCATGCATTTTTAGTGATTTTTAATGTCATGAGCAACTAATTAGAAATAGACTAAAGGTCTATTTGGGGCAACAACTACCGTTTGAGAAAGTAATTGTGCAGCTGCTGCTTCATAAAAAAATGTTGTTCAAAAAGTTGTGATGATTATTATATCTTTCTTCTTTCAAAAAGCGAGACTGTGATTTTCTAACAGTCACCACACTTAACCAGGTCAGGTCATGATGTAATTATAGCTTCCCACCACAGCTTCAGCATCGCACCACTACCACACCGTTGTCCCAAACACATTCTAAATAACTACAATTAATCAACATCTTTAATATATATATATATATATATATATATATATA